TCAATCTATTGTTACCGACTCCACCCGCGACAAGCGCCATCTGTTTGTCAGTTTTTTCTTGGTTGTGTCTGGCATCTCTAAACAAGGAGTACTTCATGCTGGCAATGCTCTACCACGAAGCTGACAAACACTTTTTACAATTTTTGTAATCATTGCCCGCTGTTCGTTGGTTTTTTCATATTTTTCTGCGATATCACGTTTTGAGTAAAATGTCTGCCCGTTACGATCGCGCTGTCACTATTTTTTCACCAGATGGCCATCTGTTGCAAGTGGAATACGCTCAGGAAGCAGTGCGTCGAGGATCTTCGGCTGTGAGTGAACTTAACCTCCTCTATAAATGTCCTTTTCCCATTGAACAAGACTGTTTAATTTCATACAAATTTTGCAGGTTGGAGTACGTGGTAAAGACGTTGTTGTGCTGGGTGTAGAAAAGAAGTCTATGCCCACATTACAGTTAGACCGGACGGTACAGAAAATTTGTACCTTGGATGACCATGTCATCATAGCCTTTGCCGGTTTAACTGCTGATGCGCGTATTCTTATTAATCGAGCCCGTGTTGAATGTCAAAGCCACAAACTGAACGTGGAGGACCCCGTCACATTGGAATATATTACACGGTAAGTTATGATTTCAAAAAGGCTATAGATATTTACCGAAAGGTCCGCCAACAGGTACATTGCCCAATTGAAACAAAAGTACACACAGAGCAATGGCAGACGACCATTTGGTATTTCGTGTTTGATAGCGGGATTCGATAGCAATGGCGATCCACATCTTTACCAGACTGAGCCGTCTGGGAATTACTATGAATGGAAAGCGAATGCCGTTGGACGTGCTGCCAAAACAGTACGCGAGTATTTAGAAAAGCACTACAAGGAGGAAAGTGTTGCAGAAGAAGATGCCGCTGTTCGGCTGACCATTAAGGCACTTCGAGAGGTAGCACAAGCCAGTGGAAATTTGGAAATTGTAGTGATGAAGAAAGCGGAAAAGCCTGGAGATACTCCGAGACTGGTAACGCTGTCTGCAGATGAAGTTAAGAAACATGTTGAGGCTATCAAACAGGAAAAGGAGGAGAATGAAAAGAAAAGCCAGAAAAAGTAAAATATCGATATAAAATTTGGAAAACTTATTTCCACACACAATATCTTTGTTAGTTTCCTCTACTTGGTATGTAAGGCGCCGATAAGCGGAAATAAAACATGTTTTAATAAAGATCTGTACAATCCCAAGTCAATATATTTTTCACATAAATCATCTAAAATATCACATTCACTAATTGTATACTTACATACAATTATACATGAGACAATGTCTTAGTTACTACATATTAAACTATGTATATACATAGCTTACAACTTTATATGAGATCACTCGGGGAAAGTTGCGATTCTCCCTCGGCTAAATATATTTGTAATGCTTTATACAGCAAGGATATACCTAAGAATTTCTTTTCCTTCATAGTCCAGGTTTGCGATGGACCGTAATAATCGCCTCGCTTGTAATTTGTTAAATGATCTAATCCAAATGCGTCGATTATAGCCGCTTCTCTGGTATACGCCTCTGAGGGTAATATATTGTGAAAGACATGTAAACAAACCACACCTTTTCCACAGCGCCAAATGTCTAGGATTCTGTTCAGTTTTTTATTATCCGGAGACTTACAGAGACTCGTTTTGAAAACGTCTACACAAAGATTTTGTTTTCGAATCGCTAAAATGATTTATTAATAGGATTGTTTGTTAATGCATAGAAGGAAACATAACGGTGGTCATCTGTAATAATGATATAACTCAAAATTCAAAGTTAAGTGTCTCATATCTATAATCCTTATTACTTTAAGAGACATGAGACTTCACAATAGTATATTTCTGTGTTCGTATGGAAAAGTAGCTTATGTCGAAAGGCCGGCTTTAGTATAATGCGGCATTCCCTTTATTTTTTAAACGACAAGGAGTTTTTTGATGAGACTTTAAGAGAATATTGACTTGCTAGTACCGGAACTATTTCTTGCACGTTTATTTGCTAAAAGTTGTTTAACGGCTTAGCGCCCGTAAGTCATTCGCAATCGTATGCTGCGAATGCCGATTTATACTAAAGCCAGCCTTTCGACATAAGCTACTTTTCCATACGAACACAGATATGTATCTTTTTTTTTGTTTAAATTTTTAGTTGTGTCGTTATTGCTGACACCCATATATGTACATATCGCTAATTTACTTCAATAGTGTCATAATCCAAAATATATAACTTTTGAGCTGAGTATACAGAAATTAGCGCTACCTTTACCTACATATTATGTATATATTTATATCGTCACCTGAAATGCGAAAAGATGTAACAACATCGTAAATGAAATGGAAAAAGTCGTGAGTAATATTTTTATTATATTTTTCATAAAATGGTGTGGGAAGTCGTAATTCGATGAAATCCATCATGATTACTCAAAAAGTGAGTTTTAATGTTTTTTAGTTATGACTGCATTTCAACGATGATGTTTGTTACATCTTTCTGCATTTCAGGTGACGATATGAATGTTATGTCGATTACCAGAAACTCATTTCACCTTTTCCAAGAGTACTTCAGAAAGCGTCAAATGTACTTCAGAAAAGGTAAAATGTGCTTCATATCAGTGAGGTGTAAAATGAACTGACTATTTGTTCTGAAGTACATTTTACTGTTTCTAAAGTGCATTTGCCGCTTTCTGAAGTACTCTTGGAAACAGGTTGAACAAAGTATGTATTCATTTCTTCTATAGGAGTCTACCTAAATTCAAAACTTCAAAGTCGTTTTTCTCGAGTTTTGCTTTTTTGAGTTATGAAACTATTGAAGTAAATGAGCGATATGTATATTTGCATATGAAATACTTTACATGACGTTTTCCCACGCCGTGGTTTTACAATTCCCGAACTGGTTTTTGAAACATTCTCCTGACTATGTACACGTGAATGCAATTTCATCGCTTCATATAAATGGGAATATGGCCGTGAAGTCTTTCCTTTGCCCACATAGAAAACTGAATGAAGAAATCGCATCCATGCGCTATGCTTGTCAAGAAACTGTGAAAAGAAGAAAATACCTACTTAAATTTGTATATACAAAGGTTAAAATAGTAACAGGCATACCACACTTTCCCCTGGTAAATTACATGAAATCCGGGGATCGATAAGCATATATATAAAGCTTTGTTTTAGGTGTCCTTCTCTCATTTTCCGCTTGTTTGGAAGGTTGGCAAAATACTCTGCCGATTTGGACTCATATTTCATGTACTCGGGTATTAAAGAAAACTGTTCTGAAGAACGTATTGTACGCTGCAGTTCCACTGAGAACCCTTTTTATCAAAAGAACAAAATATTTTATTAGAATAAAGGTAATTTTGAAACAAACCGTTAATTTCTTCATGATCCAATGATCGGATCTAAGCCAAATTGGTATGGGACCAAATATTTACGATAAAAAAAATTTTTATCGAAATCTGTTTACATGGTCCAAATTTATGCGGCAACGTACGTAAAAATTAAAAAAACTATCCGCGGAATTGATAACCTTCTTCTTTTCTGAAGTCGGTTAAAAATATGAATGACAACCTACTTGCGGTTTTATCAGCGTTAGTCGCTCCCTTGGTATTAAGCTGGAGGGGGTTCGGAGCATTCCTTCTGTACTTTATAAGTCTTTTAATATAAAGCTTTTTCGTACTCTTTGTTATCGGTCCTGAAATACACAAATTAAAGAAACAGTGTTTGCATATGCATGCATCTTATAATTCAGAGCTACATCGCTTACCTGGAGGATCGCCATAATGTGTCAACTCTGCGCGTAGCTCGTCCGTTTCGTAGTCCAAAGGAATTGTAACATTAGTGGATATTGTATTATTCAAATTTTGTTGATCGCTTGAAATAAAGAAATCATATACATATGTATGTATGGTATTTATGTACATACATATATAGCATATGTAATAAACATGTAAAAGACCTATGTATATAAGTATCGCTATATTATACTACCTGTTAGTTGCATGATTCTGGGTACTAAGCAGCTTGGTTTCATAGAAAACTAGGCCGTTCTCGTCGTCAGTGTGTACGTAAGCCTCAGTCATTTGTAGAAAATATTCAGATGCTGAATTTTTTGTACTTTTTTCTTTTAAGTAGTTCTTCTGTGAGTTTTGCAAGCCTTCATCTGGCATATTTGCACTTATGTTTTCATCCAATTGTTCAGTGAAAGGTGGCACAGTATGATAGCTACTGTCTAACTCTCGATTGCGTGCTGGTGGATCCATATTTAAGACATTGGCTTGCGCCGCTTTTTGTATTATAGCACCCAAAGAGACATTAGGATTAAGTAAGAACTTCCCTGCGGTTGCTGTAGATGCTTTTGGTTGCTCTTCTGCCGAATCTGACTTCACTTCTTTTTGCAACGCTGTGTTCGTATAGTTAAGATGGTCGCTGTTCATTAATTCGTCCAACATTTCGTCAACATTGGTGTACTGCCTTAAAATTGACCTTCTCGCTCGTGAACTCTCTACTTTTCTTCGCCAAGACTCGATCATAGATATGCAAGATCGTTCTAAATTAGATGTGGCCAGGGAAAGTTCTTTTAAGTTTTTCTCTGTTAGGTCGAAAACATTAACTGACTTTTGAGGTGAAGTTAGTGATTCCGGACGATGTCCCTGTAAATGATCAATTAAACCAATTTACATTTACATATGTACATATATTACAAATTGATGAATAAATTTTTTTAATACCTCAGAATTCACACTTTGTACATCTGAACTATTTCTTTCAATATTGCGGGCTTTATTGAGCGGCTCCGCAGTGGTTGGAAATATAGGCTGAGGCCTGTGACGTCGATGGGTGATGTTAATGTAATATGGAGATGTGACATCATAATTGTAATGTACACGGTTAGGTGTATATTTTTTAGCTGGTGTATCGTGGTTTTCATTATCCGTGGCAAGTACGTTACGAAGTACCTTGTTGACTGGCGTAATATTCGAGGCATTTTCATCACGTAACCTTACTGTTTTTGGAGCTGGAGTGTTGGAGTCCTGTCTACATTCATTACTGCGCTTTTGACAGTCTCTATCGTACTTATGTTGAAAAATATGGTTTCTAATCGCTTCAAGCACTTCGAAATGGCAATCTTCTATGGCATAATGTATAGGTGTTTTACGTTCATCGTCCACCACATCATATTGAGCACCATATTTCTACATTCGCTAAGTGTTAATATTCATTTTGAAAATTTATAGGGAAGGATTGCCTACCAAAAGTTGCTTCACAATATCCACACGTCCAAATATTGCTGCCACATGCAATGGCGTCATATTTTCGTTGGACCGCACATTGGGATCAGCTTAAATGTGTGTATACGTACGAACATATTTATAAATTTATTCAAAATATTAAGTTTTAAAAACTTATGTAACTCACCACCGTCCTGAAGGAATCTTTTTGATATCTCCCAGGCTAATTCTGCGTTCTCCATTCCGCACGCATAATGCAGTGGCGATATACCGCGCTCAACAGGGACAAAACTTGCATCTACATTATTCCTTTCAAGTATTGCATTTATGTCGCTTGCAAAGTTAAAGTTTAAACACTATTAGTTACAATTTTTATAATTGGTTTCAAGTAAATTTTATTAACATCATGTTTTTTTACCTTTCATTGCCATCCTCTAGTGCGTCCAACAAAATAAGAGCGAGGAAATTTGCCCGCTGGTCCACTTGAAAACTTGACATCTCTGCAGGACTTTCACTCATATTATTTTAATTAGAATATTTTTCTGGAAATGTTCCTTTCGTTATTGATACATATCCTTTTGTTATCCCTTATTTTTACTTTATTTTAGCACTATCCCACTTAAATTCTAGTTTAAATCAGAGTTGAATTTTAAACACTATGCTAATTGATAATAGCGCTACGTACTGTACTTTACTAAATATTAGACCCCCAGTTGGAAAAGTAGCGCCAGTGGAGGGGTAGTCGAAAAATCGTTATAATTTTGCGTAAAATCTCATTTTTACAATTTCATATCTTATTTTCGTTAAAATGCTATTTCATATGCAAAGTTATATCCTTTCCTCTGAGGCTCGCTATCAAGTTAGGTTAGGGTAATCAATACATTATTCTTATGTTTTTCCTTATGTTCCACTTGTGATTGTCTATAGAGTTTTGTAAGTTTTTGTTGCTCCTGTTTTTGTTTTATATATTACTTGATGTTGAACATTAACATATTTAAATTCTTAATTATAAGTTACAGTTGTACTATAAAAGATCATTGGGATCTTATTGCGCTAATGTTATATTTTATAATAAATGAAATGTAATGAAATATCTTCCGCATACATTCAGCAAAAAAATCACAACCCAACAGAATTCTACATGTTAAGTGCTATGCGTTGGGTAATCGCTTACACGCAAAACCCGTTTAACAGATTATTATCTGACAACTCTCAGGCAAAGCTAAGTATACTGGGCTATTATGCATACTTGGCATTGCTTGAGAGTTGTCACTCTTTGTGAATTTGACAGAATCAGCTGTGTGCGTGACGTCATCTTGGTGCATGATGCAATAATACAAGGTGTTATCGGCTGGCAGCTTCTCGCTCTAATTCCGCCATATTGACTGCCTTAGGTGAAACAGTGCTACTTCTTTAACAATTCTTTGCCAGTATACACATTTTGTTTTCTTAAAGCGGTATTTTATTTTATTTCATTTCATTACGAATATACTACAAAAAAGCAAATTTTGTTTAGAAGAAAATATCAAATTTTATACTGGGCTACCGCTTATACGCGAAGTTCATTTCACAGTATATACAGTAATAAACCTTTTCGCAGTTTTTCACCATTTGGTCCCCGAGGAGTACTTTTGAGTTGTGTGCAGCGCTTTCGTTTTGCGCACACGGCAACACTTACTGTGGGGAATTTCGACTCATGATTATAAAAGTTCATTTCGAGGATAAAATATACATAGTTATGTATTATTTATGAACAAAATGTAGGTTAAGTATAATATTCATCTTTAATGTATGCTGATATTCATGCTTAATGAAAAATAATATTAATTTTTTCATAATTAACGCTTGTGTTTTATAAACTATTTATCAAGCCAAATTCTAAATTTCCGAATACATTTAAGTCTTTATTTAAAAAAAAAAACATGGTTTGTATAGCTATACAGACCCCAATACCTGCCAGCGCATCCGCCCAGACAGTCCATTAAGCATACCCAAGTTTGAGTGATCTACAAGTTACAAGCGTTTTCAGCATTTAAAAGTTCATTATCATGTATGGTGTAATTGGCCGAAGTGTGGTGACACGAAACAATTTTTGGTATGGTGGCAGCCGACGTGTGGTGTATTTGGCCGACTGCACCCCAAAATTTCTGGCAGAAATTAGTTCACACAGAAAATGCGCCTTCTCATTCATAGACGTTCTCTGCTTTTGGAAACAAATACCATATACCGTGTTTTGCCCACACGTTGAATTTAGTGGCGAAATCAGCGTTAGAATATCCACAATTAAAGCCATTGTTAGATGGTTCAAACAAAGTTGCGTGGCAAGCGATGAGTTGCGAGTAGAGTCCAATATTGGAAAAANGTATACAACTCTGAATCAACAAAATCCATGCTCCTTCTCAATAACAACCCTGATCAGATTTTACCCCCAAGGAGTACTTAAAATGTTGTATTACTGTATATACTGTGGTTTATACGGTGTTTACATGAAGCGATTTTACAGGCAACTTTGAGGTGAAAGCAACAATCGCTTGGTGTGAACGGCCTTTCAACAAATCGCTAAGCAAAGGGTGAGAAAATTGTGTTTTCGTTTCTTAAAATGTCACACTCTTGTAAGGCAAAGAGGGAAAATTCTCTGCCCTGTGAATCAGATGGTTGCTTAAAAAGGCAACATTATGAAATGGGTGAGCTAGACAAGGACAAGAAGGCACTTTCGGTTCGCTGGGGTTTCTTGAATCTCAGAGTTTTTGAGTTTCTTTGCTAGTCGGTGTTGGCTAAGCCAATGGTGTCTCATATCAAAACACCTCCTTTTTCGGCTGCTTCAAACAGAGATAGACTAGCAGCGTTTACTTCTTAGGGGATGGGCCAGAAGTGGCAAGACACAACTCAGAACAACAGAATATGTACAAGGGTTAAATATTATGTACAAAGGGCAAACTCGAGTCATTTAACTACTGAAATCTCACCACAAATCGTTTATTAGGAAACAGCTCCTTTTGCTGAACAGCTTACATGCGAGTTTGTATATTTGCATACTAAATAAATGATAAGCACAATTTCAAACTCAGTCAGTAACTTTATTTAACATTTAGATATGTAGCCATGTAGATATACGTACATACTTACATACATATCCATCTGTATTAAAGAACTTATTTTTTCACTTTATCGCCTTGCAGTTTACTTCAAATACGCCCCACTAAATTAGATTTGACTTTACTAACGACTAAATTTGACTACTTTCGTCAACGAATATGTGTATGTACATATATACATACAAACACATGTATGCAAAAAGGTACATATTTATTTATAATCAAATAACAAAGCGCCACTTAGTTTTCAATAATCGTATCCTAGTGCTTGCATATACAAACAACAAACATATGTACATATGTAATTTAAATATTGTTTTTGTATAAATAAATATTCATGTAGCACCAGCTTTTCACACGTAATTGTCGCCTGATGATATTTCCCGACTTTCAATGACACTCCTGTAGTAATGCGCCGAATTTTTGGCAACACGTTCTTTATTCTCACTTGTCATGTTCAGGTAATAGAGACCAAACTTTTCACTGCAACGAAAACGAACGTTTATTGTTGATTTAAGGTGTCGCTAGCACGCAATCGCAAAGCGCGAAAGTGTTGAAAGAGGTAAAAACTAAAATTAAGCATTTACTTACGTAAATCCCTTATTCCACTCGAAATTATCGATTAAACTCCAATGGGAGTAGTGTGTAACGTTGCACCCATCGTTGATTGCATTCAGGACAGCCCGTAAATGTGTCTGCAAAATATAAAAGAAATCTAGGGTCTACACTAGGGTGCCGCATGACGAAAATTTGCCGCTTTTCCAAGCAGATAATAAAATGTGGAATTTTAGCGCCCAATAAAATATTTTGTTTCAATTCGGCACTAATCGTAAGCTGAAGCACATTGAAAATCCTTCTGAAACTCGCATTATTTTATTTTTATTTTTTAGCTGGAACACTTCTAACATCAAATAACCCTATAGACGAGTGTTTCAATAAAAGATCTGCATCAAAATAAAAAAAAAAACACTGTTCAGCTCTTCAAAATAACGACATTTTTAAGCTTTTCAGTATAGTTTTCGTGGAAATTTTAACAGCTCAGCCGTATATTAACCAAATTTCGAGGTAAAACGGAAAAGGTTTTTTAGTTCAAACTAATGATAGTTTTTAGTTTTGGCTTCTTTTAATTTTTTAAAGTGTTTGATAACTTTAAAATCTTTGGGCTGATTTTCAGTTTCGCATTGTTTTTTTTTTGTTGAAACATCCTAGGATTTTTCGGCAAAACAAAGAAATGTCTGAAGTTTTTGGGGCTTGAGTGGTTTAATTAAAAAAATCGCTGATACTGTGAGAATGAAAAGTAAATACCAAAGAACTGATGGCAGAATTTTTGAAAAAACTTTTAAATTTACATGTTCCCATTATTCAGACTATTTTCTCGGGAAACATTTTGCGATATACATAAATTAGATTTATGATAAACGTGACGTTTTCATGCAGTTTTAAGGAAAGGTTGGAGTTATAAAATTCGCTGGAGAAGGAGAATCGCTTTTCTTTGTATTGATTGTGAGGCAGCCTAGTGTATGCAGAGCTGGGTCGTAATGATTCCTTTAGGGATTAAATTACTCCCAATTTTAAGAAATTTCATATTGTAATTGGAATAACTTACGTGCCAGTAATGTAATTTTTTCCAATTTCTTTGAAAGGAATTGAAAATGTAATTGATTTTTTTTTTTCAATTCCATTACCTGGAATTGCACGAGTACTTTAGTTTTTTCAATTACTCAAGGAATTGTAAAAGTATTCGAGAAATTGAAAGTTCATTCACGAATGTAAAATGTGCATTTTTATAGATACGCAGGGATTACTTCAAGAGAACAGCAGCGCCCAAGGCAGCAACAGTCCGGACTGTTCTTCACTGAAAGGCGAGCATGAAAGAATTCGGGCGGGTTATGCCTGCTTTGACATTTACGGGTTTCATCTGCCGCGGAACGCGTTCGCGGTAGGAGCTGGAAAATTTAACGGTTACCCTATAAACTGACAGTTTAAGTTATGCAGCTTTTTTTTTCAATTCCAATTAGTAATACTACTTAGGTATAAGTTATTTATTCTAGGCAGTTAGCAACCAAGAAATTTAACAACAATCAACCAACAGTAAATTTTTTTTATACATTTTTCGATTACTTTTTAAATTACTTTGAGGAATGGAATTCGATAAAAAATCAATTACATTTTCAATTCCTTTCAAAATGATATTGTGTGCAACTCCTGTTTTTTATTTATTTTAAATAATTTTAATTTCAAATATAGTTAGAGAATTGCACAAAGTTCACAAAAAAGAATCTAACTTCAAAGAATTTTCATCAAAATGTCAAATCCTTTATACAGAATGTTTAGAAAATTTTCGAGTATGCAGTTTTATAGAACATTCAATTTTATTATAATAAAGTGCAAGTTTCAAGCCACTTAAAACTACCGTTGCCTTTATGGAATTTTTTTGTCAAGGGTGTTCAGCATTTTCTTTAATGTAAAGTATGAACAAAATCTATTTTTATAAGGAAGAAAATGCGCAACATCCTCGACAAAAAATTCTAAAAAATCAGCAGTAATTTTTAATGACTTAAAACTTGCACTTTAACTTTACTAAATTTGAACGGCAACAAAACTGAATAATCGAAAAATTTCCAAAAGTTCTAAATAAAAAGTTGGAAATTTTGATGAACATTTTTTGAAGTTTCATTCATTTCTGTGAGCTTTGTGCAATTTTCGAATTTTTTTTTTCTCTGGTTTCTGTTATATGTAGATCGAACTATAATTTATCTGAAAATTAATAAAAACAAATAAACAGGAGTTGCAAACAATATCATTTTGAATTTTGATGTTATTATTTTGACCGCTGCCGTATGCAGATGTGCATAATAAATATACATGTACAAAAGTAGATTATAGGCGGCATACACGGTGCGTCTGACTCGCGAGTCATTTATGTACGTGTTGACTCGCCTTCGACTACACACAGTTGAATCATTCAGAGACATTCCAGGAGTCATGTCGGTGTAACTAACTCATATTTATTTTTACAAACACATTCAAACCGACTCACGAGTCAGACGCACTGTGTATGCCGCCTATTAATAATGGTGAACATATAGGCACAAACATTTTTACGTATGTCTATTCAATGTACATTGTACATTAGTGCGGATCGGTCCCCATACAACAAAAAAAGTTTTTCCAGTCCACCCCTAGGATGAAAGATATTTTGAAGGCGATCCCAAAAAAAATGTTTTTTTTTTGCCACGCCCCCCCGATGGGCTATTTACTTTTTTTGACATTACGTCGCCATTTTAAGTCCGATTTGAATGAGCCTTACACCTTTGTTCATGGCTTGGAAGCCGCCACAATTCTTACCTTAATCATTTTTTACTCCGAGTTCAAATTCTAGTAGTGACTGTGGGTATCTCGTTTCACATCATACCTAAATTCCCTTTTTTTTGTCACACTACTACAGTCACTACTAGAATTTGAACTCGGAGTAAAAAATGATTAAGGTAAGAATTGTGGCGACTTCCAAGCCATGAACAACGGTGTAAGGCTCATTCAAATCGGACTTAAAATGGCGACGTAATGTCAAAAAAAGTAAATAGCCCATCGGGGGGGCGTGGCAAAAAAAAAACATTTTTTTTGGGATCGCCTTCAAAATATCTTTCATCCTAGGGGTGGACTGGAAAAACTTTTTTTGTTGTATGGGGACCGATCCGCACTAATGTACAATGTACATTGAATAGACATACGTAAAAATGTTTGTGCCTATATGTTCACCATTATTAATAGGCGGCATACACAGTGCGTCTGACNCTTTTCAACTCACTTTAAAATATCCTCCAAGCCCTGTGGCACGCAGTAAAGCCAATCAGATTTGGCACGTTTCCAGCTCTCCTCAACCGAATATTTAAGGCGCGAATCATGCTCCCAAGAAGGAATTGCCCCTGTCGGAGGATCCGACATCTGGACGTAACGGGAGGTATAATAATTAAGGCCTAAGAAGTCCCCTGATCCTTTAATTATCTTCGACCAGTATAAGTTTAGGGGTCGTAACCGCGACCAGG